GCATGTTCATATTTAGCTGGCTAAAACTGCAGATAGCCCTTTGTTTTCTCCCTAGTATATTTATGCTTCATTTATACCTGTATGACTACTTTATCCGAATGTTTTCTGACTACTATGTAACATTCCCGCCGTTATATTCAACAGTTGATTTATTAGCGTCGGAATATTCCACTACGCAGATAATGGGCTAAATGCTCTGTACAAAAACTTGTTGCTGTATAAAGATGTGTATATTTACACGTTGTTGACGTTTAGACCTCCATTTCATGGGGATCATTGCCATAGCACTTAAATGTTCGTTGTTTCAAATGTTCTGTTCTTCTGTTTCTTCTTGAAATTGAACCAGTTTTTCTTTGTTCGCTAACAGCCGAGGGAGGACCTGAAATATTAAGCTACTCCTCAGGTTCCTGTGGGTGTAATAGATTTCCTAGGACGCACTTGGTGTATCGTCTACGCAATGCTTTTTCTACACTCTGTTCTTAGCAATAATGCTGAATTTGATATAGGCATGTTGTGGCTGTGCATTTGCTGAATCTGTGAGACATAAGGTACGCAACCGTTCCAGTAAAATAGGAGTTTTAAAGCCTTCATTTGACGGTATTTAATTATGTTTTTGAAAGCTGTAGTGGATGCTGCTCGGCAGTGATTGGCATTACAATAAAGCGAGAGCTACCATCGGTTTTCCGTGATGTTTAGAGGGTCGAGGCTGTATCTAGGTTTTAATAAACCCTTGAATTTGGTCGTAGTGTCTTTACTGCTCAGAATAGCAGTGTTTTAGTGATTTTGCTACGCTGATGAAACACTAGGTTATATCACTGTATTGAATGGAACTGGGTCGGCTTTCGATGGCGTATGTTATTATATTTTGCGTGAACTTCATAAACTGTTCTTATGTTAGATATGTCAGCTAATGAATGACTCTTCTAGGACCAGGTTTCACGGCATGTGTTACATCCTTGCTCATACTTATCTAGGGGACCATTTAAGTAGGCCGCGGTTACTTAGTATAATGGCATCGGCAGTGCCAATAGGATCTTTCATCTTTCTGAGCCACTGCGCCCTCAGCAAAACGGTGTTGTACTCAGGACTTGGAATAGAGTCTAACCTTAGATGAGTCGTTATTTTCCATTATGCTTCATTTTGGAATTTGTTGTAAAATACTGCTGTATCGTTCTTAGATTTTATTATTTTCCATTTGTTCAGAACTGCTGATCAGCAACAGATTATCATGGTTTCTCATGACATATTTCTACCACAGAGTCACTGAAGTTAAACGACTAATTTGGCTATGTTAGCTATGGTGGACATCACGAAATTGTTTCATTGTATCTTCATCTTCCATGATTCCTTCTCCTTTTGAATCGCAGAGACAGACGCGTCAGACAGTACTTCCAGCGTTCTCGATCCTGTACCAGGGCCTGAGCTTCGGCAGAAGACAACTGTAATCCTGAGCAAACAACTTCCATATGTTTGCACCAGGTTAATCTTGGCCGTCCCCTGGGCCTTTTGCCGGTCGGATTTGTAAGGA